AGATCAAATTCCCATGGATTGATCACTATTGATACTTGATGCATAACGTGAGCTAAATAAAATAAATAATCAATTGTCGAATAGTTATTTTATGAATATTATTTAAAGAATTATTTATTAGTACTTGTGAAGAAACATTTGAAGATTTTGTCTCAGCAGGCGATAATGAAACGATTTCTAGTTATTAAAGATTTAATAAAAATTACATTAAGAGAATATTTTTAAATGAATGTTGTGTTAATACAAAAAAAAGATGATTTTCAAATTTCGAATTGATAACATATCCTGCAGATCACTCACATCAATTAACTGGATTAATATTCGAATTTCAAGATAGAACAAAATGAAAATATGTGACACTTTCACAATAAACTATTCTCATTAAAATCGTCAATATTTACGAAATCAGTTTTTCTGTTACTGTAACATTTTTATATTGAAATTTTCTTTCTGTAGGTTAGAACCTTCCTGAAATCTTAATAATAAAATTTCCTTCTAAAATTCTGTCCACAGACAAGTTTCAGATCAGAGTTTGTCACGGAGTATTTTTTTCCTTGTCCTGCTCTAAGGACAAGGTGCAGGGCATCAACAGATTAGAATAATACTTATAAATTGAATATGTCTCTTGCAAGATTTTAATCTTCAATAAAATAATGATATTCTCAGATGCTTTTAGTAACTAAACCCTGTGCTAGAAAAAAGAAGAAAGTAATCTTAATTGCAAAACAATATTTGTTTTTTTACTAGGGTCACGTTTTTTTCACTTTATTTTATTTAATAAATATAAGTATGATTTTTATATTTATAAAAAAAACATCAGTAAATTCTTTATATTTTTTAAATAAAGATTAAAAAATTTTTTATCTTTTCAAAAATAAACACCATAGATGTATATGAACTATACAGAAAGTTTTTTGTTGCATATACATTCTTTTTTTCATGCACTCACTTGATTGTCTAATGATATGACATGTCGAAGTGATATTCATGGCAAGAAAGAATATTGCTTCACATATCCAGTTGTTATACTACGTATTTGTCTATTTATCTATAACAGAACAAATTTTTCTTCATTCTTTAATTTTCTAAAATAAACAATTTATCTATGTTCATTTTATAAATATCAAGATTTAGTTTTATTTATACTTATTCTTTACTATAATTCAAAAATAAAGTTACTGAAAAACAAAATTTGAATGTGCTGAATTTCATAAAGTCAGCAGAATTTTCGACATAAAATTTTAAAGAACTCATATGTCTTCTGTTATGTTTTATGAAATTTTTTAAGCGCGTCGTGGTCTTCTAACATAAAATATGATCTTCTATTCTTGACTTGTGTTTGATAAAAATCGACCATCTTTTAATTTCAATGATTAAAATAAGGTCTTCTGAATCAAAGGCAACTTTTCTTTCTTGTAGTTTTTTCCTCGTTCATTAATTTTTTGAGCAAGTAATCATTTCATATTCAAATTTCTTAAGACATGTAGCAGAAAGACAAAACTCGATTACATTTCTAATCAACTTCATTTTATAAGCGAGGTTTAATTCATTCAAAATTATTTGTGAAATGACAATCAAAATGAATTGAAGATGAAATAATTAGATTAAAATCGACTAAAAACATTCGCATTTTAATCGATTGTTTAATTAGAAAAACTAAATTGGAATTAGCCTTCTTTTTAATTTTTTTGGCATAGGATAAACGTTTCTGCCCTGCCAGCCAGTCTCTGGTTCAGATCCAATACGACATCCTAAAGATTTTAGCTCAACCGATTAGTAGAAGAAGATTAATAACTGAAATTTTCTAACTAATATGTACTATTTAAAAGAAGTTTTACCTCTTTTGTACATTGAACGTTGATTTAAAATAATTAAGTATTTCTTCCAAATTTTTTAATAAATCTTGTGTAGAAATAAGACTTACTACTGATTTTATAGAAAATAATGTTGTTGAAAGTAATCGTTCAAAATTAACTTTTGTATCTTCATTTGTGTTTGATATTATTGATGAATCTTTATCATTCTCTAAAAAAAAACAAATGAATGGGTTCATGACAAGACATGATCCAACACATTCTTTAAATCTAAAACTTTAGAACTCCTTTCTTCTACGAAAGCTGAAATATCAATTATAGAAAATGATCTCCTGCTAAAAAAAATGATGATTGTGAAGTTTTTTGTAATAGTTCAAGAACATTAATAAAATAATTCAATTTTTGAATAACTTGAATCATTTGTGCTATTTTAAAAATATTTTTTCATTTGTTAAGATTTGATAAATCTTCAAAAAATTAAATTATTATTATCGAGTAATAATTGGAAATTATTAAGATCATTCCATATAAATAGATGTATAACTAAACAAAGTTCATCATATTGATTATGAAAAAAAAATGATCAAATTGTTGTTGATCCTAAAACATTTGAAAGAGCATAAATACCTTCTAAACATTCAACTTATATAAAAGACAAAAATAACAAACAATTTATATTCGAGTTGATGCTTGAGCTAAACAATTAAATACTAATGTTGGTAAACATGATATTGTTTCACATTGCACTGCATCATTGAATATAATTACAGAAGTATTTGTTTGTTGTAATGAATAATGAATTTTATGCATCCATTGACAGGAAGAATTGATCCGTTTAGGTAAATAAAGTATTGACCATTGATATACTAAAAAAATGAATTGTGATCAACAAACCTTAAAATCAAAAAGTAGCTAGTAACTAACTTAATACAATAAAATCGACTGATGCATTATTCAACTTCAAAAATAAAACTACCTAGTTAACTAATATCTCTATAATTGACATACTTAGCAAAAGTTAAAATAGCTGCTGGACGAACACTTGTATCATTATCAGCAAGAAATAGAAAGATAATGTCAATACAATGATCAAATCATGATCGATTCTAAAAATAAAAGTAAAACAAAAAAAACCAAGATATTGTTTTTATCTTCTATATATGATTAGTTTTAATTTACTGTTTTTTTTATCTGCTATTTTTGTTGTTCAAAATAAGTTAGTATTCAAGAAAATCAATATTATGCACAATTTGAGCTAGAGCAACCTATTTTATACACATAAACAGTTTATTGTAATCATAAGTTTCATTTGTCTACTTTAGCAAGAATATAAGAACTTGTACTATATTGAGTAGAATCTTCTAATAATTCAATTCCTATGATTGTAAATGTATAACATGTGCATTATTATCCTAAAGACATAATCGAAATGTAGAAAGTAATTCTGCTAATATACCTAATTGAATATATTTAAAAACAAAAAGAAAAAATATTTTTATCAAAAACAAGAGATGATTTAATATTCGAATCTAACCTTGAACTGTCTTGTGAATCAATTGATACAAGTGAATATTCATTAATAAAAGAATTATTAAATGAATTTGATAATGATAATAGTCTTAAAAGATGAATTGTTCTTTTTAATTAATGTAACAAGGAAAGAAATTTGCATATGTATCACATAAATGTAGATCGTCTACCTCGATGTTCGATAGATTTTAATGCATTACAAGTCATATAGAGATAAGAATTTCATATCAATTACAACATTTTTATTTAATCAGAAATCTTCAAAGATTAAAGAAAAACTCATTCGAGAGTACAATTGATCTCACTATCATAATGAAAAACTGAACATATCTTTCGTACTAGATATGTACAGAATTCGTACTTTAGCTTCAAACTTTGTTTTTGAGGTAATTATGTGAGTGTATAATTTCGATCTCTAATATATATAAATGCAGCCTCTGGACTCTAAAATTTTTGTATGTCTAACCTATTTAGTAAAATGCTCTACTCTTTTGTTGGTTTCAAAAAGATTAAAATTTCATATTGTTTTGTTTCAACAATTCAATAGTAAAATCTTCATATCTATCAGATAACTTTCACTAAAACTTTGAGACCATAACCAATTGAAGCCACGTTAACTAAACTCTGCTACAAGCTCCTTCATCAGATTTATCCTATTCATCTGAGTGCTCCTACTGTTACAACATTGGAAATAACTTTGGATTATAAAATAAATGTATTTTACTGAACTAAAACTTTACAAATAAAAAAGTCTCAAACAAGCATTAAACATACTTACAGTAGGATAATCAAATTATTGATAAATGTGATAGATATGTTAGTGTAGCACATTCAATACTAATACGCGATTTACCATCACTTTTTATCATACCATGCATATTGAGTAAATGTCTAATTGAAAAAAAAAACATAATTGATTAACAAGTTTAGCAACTGATGTTTGTTTTTTCATTATTAATCATTGATTTTGAATATAATTCATCATTCATTTTATATACTAAAATATCGTGTTGTTTATTAATTTCAATAAATCAACGTTGATATGTTGAATAATCTATTATTTTAGAAAAAAAAAA